ATATAATATATATATATATTGCAATTGCAACAAATTTGATGAAATATTACTATTAATTTGCGAGGTGGTGGAGCCGAGCTCGAGTATAGGTTGTATACAGAATACAGTGCCGCATGCCCCCCGTACGGGAAACCCGCGAGTAAAATTTAAAGTAGTATACTGTGTGAAAGCTTATTGCAATATTATAATTGCAATATTGCAATCCAATCTTTCGAAATGGGAAGCTTATTTCGACGTATCGCAGTTATTGCCGTATTAGGTATATATACGTATTAGGTACTACTGACAAGAATACTTAAGTACCTACGTGGGGCTAGAGTACGTCGACACGGTGCCGTGCCTGGCGGGCCGGCCGGGTATCGCATGCGCGACACGTTAGCGTAGCGTCTCCTGATCAAGCCACCATCGATATCGCGTTCGTTGTGCTCTAAGATAAATCAGATCTCGCGGAAAAGCCTACCTAGGCATAGGTAGGTAGGAAGGAAGAAGTAGGTATGTAGAGTATGTATGTACCTGAGGCTGCAGGCAGGGTGGATCAAGATTTGTTCAGGCTTGCGGGGTTAATTTTAGGCGGTTTCAGGGCGCTTTTGCCCCGGCATGCCAGGTTACGGTGGACAGTTGCACTTGTGGTGGTGGTGGTGGTGGTGGTGGTGGTCGGCGCGGGCCTGCGCACCCCGCAATGTCTGAGATGTGATGTATGTCAGTCTCGAGCCTGGATGTGTCTATCCGCAAGCCAGGGAGGGTCGATGTGGCAGAGCGCAGAGACATGAACTCCAGTGCCTGTCAGATCATATGCATGCGTGGCCAGCTTTTAGCGTTATACTTTGTGTGCAGGCCCTGCAGGTCTCGAGCAAGCGTATGCCCGACTCGGTTAATGTGCGAGCATGGTGTGGTGGGGTGGCCCGACGACAGCCAGGTAAGGGTGCTGGCTGGGACCATGGCCATCCGGAACATCTCGACCGCGGTTTACCCGTTATTGGAGGGCAATTCTGTGGTAGTGCGCTGAGCTCAAGGACAGAGTTTGCGCTAGCAGTGGTGGCAGTGGTCGTCGGCGTAGTGCGGTATCGCCAGGGCGGATGCTGTGGCCGCGTTCCCGCCCAGGTACGCCTGCGGAAGCATCGTGGGATGAACCCGTTTCAATTTGCCAGAAGTGCCCACCGCGGTGCAGCGCTGCAGAGGCCTGAGGAGGAAGAGGAGGGCAGTGGAGAGGCAATTGCAATTGGGCTAGCAGAGGCCTGGCATTTGGCCCGGATCTCGAGATATATAAACCTCCAGCACGCCCGTCGTTATGTTTCTTTTTCTCCCCATCCTCACCATCCACCATCCCTTCAGCCCACCCATCTGCCTCCTTCTGTCCTCAGTCTTCAGTCTCACTTGATCTATCCCCACCAAACCCGGTCCCCCTCCTCCATCAAAATGAAGTTCTCCTTCCAAGCCTCCGCGCTCCTCTCCGTCGCCCTCGCCGGCCTCGCTGCCGCCCAGCAGGTCGGAACTCTGACCGCAGAGACCCACCCCAAGCTCACCTGGAGCAAGTGTACCGCCAGCGGCTGCGCCACGCAGTCCGCATCCATCGTGTTGGACGCCAACTGGAGATGGCTCCACTCCACCTCCAGCGCCACCAACTGCTACGACGGTAACACCTGGAACACCGCCCTCTGCCCCAACGAGGCCACCTGCTCCGCCAACTGCGCCGTCGATGGCGCCGACTACTCTGGCACATACGGAATCACCACCAGCGGCAACGCGGTGACCCACCAGTTCGTCAAGGTCGGGCCTTACAGCACCAACATCGGCTCCCGTGTCTACCTCATGGACTCCACCGACACCAAGTACCAGATGTTCTACCTCAAGAACCAGGAGTTCACCTTCGACGTCGATGCCTCCAACCTGGTCTGCGGCCTGAACGGCGCGCTCTACTTTGTCGAGATGGACGCCGACGGTGGACTTAGCAAGTACTCCACCAACAAGGCCGGAGCCAAGTACGGAACCGGATACTGCGACGCCCAGTGCCCCCACGACATCAAGTTCATCAACGGAAAGGCCAACGTCGAGGGATGGGCCGCCTCCGCCACCGACAGCAATGCCGGTACCGGCCGCTACGGAACCTGCTGCCCCGAGATGGACATCTGGGAGGCCAACAAGATCTCCTCCGCCTTCACCCCCCACGCCTGCAGCCAGCCCGCCGGCGCCTACAGGTGCGACGGCCTCGAGTGCGGTGACGGCGACGACAGGTACAGCGGTGTCTGCGACAAGGACGGCTGCGACATCAACACCTACCGCATGGGCAACAAGAACTTCTACGGCCCGGGCTCCGGCTTCACCATCGACTCCACCAAGAAGATCACCGTCGTCACCCAGTTCATCACCTCCGACGGCACCGCCAACGGCAACCTCATCGAGATCCGCAGGAAGTGGGTCCAGAACGGCATCGTCTACGAGACCCCGACCCACAAGATCACCAACGTCTCGGGCAACTCCATCTCCGACACGTACTGCGCTGCCCAGAAGACTGCCTTCGGCGACAACAACGACTACGCCAAGAAGGGCGGCCTCAAGGCCATGGGCGACTCCTTCGCGCGCGGCCACGTCCTGGTCATGTCCATCTGGGCCGATCACGCCGTGCAGATGAGATGGTTGGACTCCGTCTGGCCCCTCGACGTCCCGGCCACCAACCCCGGTGTCACCCGCGGAACCTGCCCGGGCACCGGCTCCGAGCCCGACTCCATCGCCAAGAACGCACCAAACTCCACCGTGCAGTACTCCAACATCCGCTTCGGCTCCATCGGCTCCACCTTCTCCGGCACCCCCGCCAACCCGGGCACCGGCACCACCACCGCCGTCACCAGCGCAACAAAGACCAGCAGCGTCGCCTCCGCAACAAAGAGCACCACCTCCACCAAGACCACCACCGCCCCGGCCACATCCACCACCTCCGCATCCGCAGGCACCATCCCCAAGTGGGGCCAGTGCGGCGGTATCGGCTGGACCGGCACCGGCACCTGCGCTGCCGGCTCCACCTGCACAGTCGGTAACCCATACTACTCCCAGTGCTTGTAAGCGGTCGACGACCATGATGGCCACGATGCCGATGATTTCTGCTTGTCGGCCGTACTGCGCGCTTTCTTTCCCTCTTGACTACTACTACCGCCTCTCATCCTCATCTCGTCCCCTGATGTATTCTACCACCACCACCACCACCACCACCACAACCGCCACTTTGCACCGTCCTCGGCTCCAGGTTGGGCTTCCTGCAGTCTTCTCGGCATGGTGAATTTGGCGCGCGCGCAATGGTTTTGTTTTTTTTATATATATTCTACGGGACATGAGTTTTTCGAGTTTTCTCGGTGCCAGGGGGAGGGAAAAAAAAAAAAAAAGCGACGGGGGGTCTACTTCATCATCATCATCTGGTCTGTATTATTATCTTTTCCTTTTTTTTTTTGTTGTATCTTTTTGTTATTTTGTATGATATATATATGTGGGGCTTGGAAATTATCGGGATCGATTTGGGAAAAGGGAAAGTCTTCTTTTGCATGGGCGGAAGCTGAAGTTGGAACCTACTTACGTAGGCTTCTGCGCCGAATAGATGGAAAAGGAAAAATGTTTTTTTTGGAGGATTTCTTTTTTGTGGGAACGGGGGAATGGTGGAGATTACCTAATCGATCGCGGTTGGTTGTCGATACTTGAGCCTTCTAGATCATTTTTTTTCTTGTTTCCTTTTACTGTATTATTATATATCTATATCTATATCTATATCAATTCGAGTCCTTTTTTTGGATTCATAAAAAAAAAAAACCCCCCCTTTTCGAGTCGTGGATTGTGAAGTGTGAAGTGTGAAGTGTGAAGTGTGGTTGGTTTTTGAGCTATATCTTATTACTTGGGTAATTATAAGTAAGCTTAAGCTTAAGCTTTAATTACACCTACCTAATATTAATTAATCCATTCGCTTGTTATAGGTAATTAGCCTGCCAGGTTCGCTTGTCCTTTATTCTTTACCCCCTAGCTACCCGAGAATCAATCCATATATGAGATTCCTTAAGCTTGCAAGCTGTCGAATTTGACTTTCTTTTTTTCTTTTTTTTCTTTTCATTCTTTTTTACTTGTTGTCAATTTAAACTACAGCTATAAGGAATTAATCGTGATCATCTCTACCTAGACTCTGGATCTAGATTCCGCGGGCCTTCCCCGCTACTACACTACACTCCACTACACATAGCTATTTCGATCTCGATAACTAGATAGTATGTACATAGTAGTACTTCAAGTATGTACGTATGTACCTACCTAGGTAGGTATACGTATACCTATCAACACCCCATGCCCTATAAGCAACACCATTGCAGGTCATGCGCATTTCAGGGTGGATAGTGGATGGAATACATATACCTAGGTACTTACTTAGTTGCCTGCTCACGAGGTACGGACGTGTATTCCGTGTGATATGCTGCAATTGCAACCCCCTCACACATCGCATCCTTCATCCTTCATCCTTCATCCTTCATACCTCACAGCCAAATCCATAGATACCTACATCATAAGTATATAAATGAGATACATACATACATACCTAACTACCTAACCTAATCTATGTAACATACATATATTACCCATACCCATACTCATTCTCTCCGCCGGAATTGATCAAAAAAGAAAAACCTCGACCATCACCTCCAAATCCGGAAGATCCACCTTCGAAGCCATGGAAATCTTTGATTTTAGCTGCAGCACCGAGCTCTTCCGACACGGTACGGTATGGTACGGTGCCGGTTCATGAGCAGTACCGGTACCCATAGCCATGCATGCATGGCTGGCTAATTTCTCAAATCAACGCAGAGACATGGATAGTATCGATATAAAATATAGTTATAGTCATAGCGAAAAACGCCAGAGCCAAATTAAAGACCACCTCGCACGAACCACACACAACCCACAACCCTAACCAACATTCGCGACGGCCATACCCCCAAGACCCAACAACCCCCTGTGAGCTCTCATGAACTACAGCTCCGTTGGTCTAGTGGTATGATTCTCGCTTAGGGTTCCACCCTGAGTATATCTTTCCAAAGATTTGCGAGAGGTCCCGTGTTCAAACCACGGATGGAGCCTGTGTTTTTTATTTGGTTTTTTTTTTGGGGGGGGGGGGGTTGAGAGTTACATGTAGGAGACGTACCTGGGGGCGGTGTGGTGCTCGTGTGGTACTTTTTTAGTGCGTTTTTTTTCTCCTGAGTGGGAAGTTCTGGAATGAGAATAGGAAGTTTTGGTTTGTGGTAGGTACTCCACGGTAGTCTCGTCGTGGATCAGGAAGGGGAGGGGGAGGGGGGGGTGTTCTGAGGGGAGCACGATCGATTCCTTTCTGTGGAGAAGGAAGATATAGCATAGATAGGTGCGATCGATCGGGATCCTATAGCTCTAGAATGTACTCGACCCACTTCACCTTCCATGTATGCGCAGGCCTAGCTGGCTGCAGAGCAAAGCGAGCGGATCCGGAGCGGATGGGGTATGATCATATGATCATATGATATGAGACCGAAAATTTAAAATGGGACCATTAATTCGTAAACATTTAAATTTCGGAAAAATGGTTTGCATGTCAAGCTTATAATTAAGTTTGTCCAAAAAGAAAGAAAGAAAGAAAAAAAAATTATTATATTTTCAGAACTTGTGGTTCTTGAAAACTTAATTTTTTTAATTTTTACGAAAGCTATAGCTATAGACTATAGACTTGCAGAAATTATCTCCTTTCATGTATACGTAGAGTATATGAATATATGGATATTAATTGATCTTTTGTTTTTCTAATTGACATTATACAATAATACACTAAACATGGGTTTTTTTATGGGAATTTTTATCACAAAGCTCTGTATTTACATTAGCAGTGCTATTGTTTTTAAACAGCAGCTACCGTTGTAGCTTTCCATGCATCTTTCCTAGCTGGTTTATCAGCTACTTTTTGTACATCTCCAGCCAAATTGAATTACTGCTGACGTATATGTGATTACGAGATGATTATTATACATATGCATGCTATTAAGAAAGCCTCTTATTCTATGAAATTGCCTCACAGGTTTTGCGAGACTGCTCTTGCTACATGTTGGCTATAAATCAGAGCTTGAGTGCGTTTAAGGGGTAGATTGAGCAATGGATTGATCAGAGGATTGAGCTGTGGATTGATTGAGCAGTAGATAGAGTGGTGGATATAGCCATGGCCATGGGGTAAGCATTGGATTTGGGGGGGTGGATTCAGTATAGCTGTAGACGTGAATGTAGCGGTAGATATAGCGATGGATATTGCTGTAGATATTATAGTGGATTTAGCATAATTATAAACATACTGGTGGATTGAGGATTGAGTATATAGTATTAATATTACGGTGGAAATTGCAGCCGATATAGCGGTGGATTTAACACTGGATTTGACAGTACGTTTGACTGGTGGATTTGACGGTGGGTTTGGGAGCGGCCAATTGAGTAGTAGATTGAGCAGCAAATTGAGCGGTGGAATCGATTGAGAGGTGGATATAAGGGTGGATTTAGCATAGATATAGCGGTATAGTGACATATTCAGTAGTATAGATATAGCGGTTAATTGCCCCGGTGGCATTAAAGTATTCCATATATGTGCGGCCTCCTGGAGCCTGCTATAGCGCCATGCGCTTATTGCTCAATCGTGCATGCGTACTACTTTGTGGTAGCCATGGTGGCCGTGGTGGTGCCAAAAGCACTCCGGAAGCACTGAATTAGGCCTGCATGTAGTTATATATATGCTGCTAGATGTGGAATATTGAGATGATGGGCATATTGAATAGGTATCTCCACAGTATGAATAGCAGATCTCTGCAAATCCCCATTAATTTGACAGCATCCACGACTGCTCTCTCTGGAGTCTGTCATACTTTATATACCAGAGCATTGATAGCTTTGCTCTCTCCCATTGGCACCTCATCATTGAGATCATCTCTCTGATATCGATCCCGCTAAAGCCCTCGTCCATTTCGCAGCATCGAAAGCATTTGTTGATTTCACATTTTGACTTGCTTTGCCGATCTATAAGTGTGACTTGATGTGAAGGTAGGTAGGCTCATGCCTAGACCCTCGGAGAGGTGTGAAGGGTGTCTGGGTTCATTCACAGGGTAAGGTATTTTCCATTTTTGGCCAAACAGCTCCTGGGGTTCTTTCGCGGCGAAGTCGCGGATACCTGTGAAATGCAAGGGAAAAGTAAACGGAAAATCCAATTGCTGCGACGGTCGTGGTCGTTGGCTACCATCGCGAGGTATACGTACGTAGCAGGGATTCAAATTTAAAGACGGGTAGCGATCGCGAGATCTAGTGGTTTTGCAAGCTGGCCATGGGGGGGTGCATGCTGGAGTGTTTGGAGAAAGTGAAGCGTGGCCGCTTTTTTTTCATTGGTGATTCTGAGGTGGATCAATTGCAACTTAAGTATGGGACTATAGCTATACAAGTGTGGTTGTTGTTGAGTAAAGTGTTTTTTTTTTATTTTTATTTTTTGCTAGATACTTGCGGAGGGGGGGGGGGGGGGTTACCGATCGATCGATATCGATTGATGTAACTTTAGTAAGTTGACCGACTTCTTTTTCCAGGGCGCAATATGGCAGTTATTGAGATCTGGAGAAGTTCCCCCCCCCCCCCGTTTTTTTTGCGCATACTTGAAAAAGGAAGGCCATGGCCAGCGCAGGAATGTAGGTATATTTTGAAAAATTCTACTTCTCGAACTCTTTTCCCGTCGCAGAAATCCACAATACGACTTCCTGTAGAAACCATTTCCGCTGGAATAAAAGACCAATCTCGGCATGTATTTAGGCTTGCACCTTTCCACACCTCTACATTCACCAACACTACACTACACTCAAGTGCGAAGTTGATTTTTTCGGAATTCCTAATTTAGAAACTGCCGTTTCAAGCAACCACGGCTAACCAAATCAGTACTCGAGTAGAGTAGTTACTCGTAAGCTAGGCTATTTCTGGCATATCAGATTCTCTAACACGACTCATGTTGGTTTTCTGGTCCGTAAAATGGTTATTTTACAGCCTGTAAAACGCCACTTTACGGTCCAGAACGGTCCGTAAAGTCGATTGTGTAATGTAGAGAATCTGATTAGGGAACTACGCTACCCGGCTGACGACGTCTATTGGCTTCTTTGGGAAGTCTTGTTTTTCCCTTCCCAATTGGGGCTCCAACCGTGTGCATATGCATCTGGGCGGGGCTGTGTCCAGACACCTTCTACCCCACCAATCTAATGCCGTAGGTACATGTATGAGGCTTTATAAACAACAAGGCATCTGTTTTGACCCCTCTCGTTTGTCCGCATTTGACTCCGCAAAATATTGCCACCTCCGGAAAACGTCCAGAACGACCAGGATTTCTTTTAACACTTACCAATTCTATACGAAGAAGGAGATATTGCTCTTGCAATTTCAAGATGTCATTCGGATTCGGTGTCGGCGACTTTCTTGCCGTCGGAAAGCTCGCCTGGGACCTATATCGCAAATGCTATGTGGTTGCGAAAGATGCCCCAAAGGAGTTCCAGGAGCTTGTTGGGGAAATCGCAACCCTTTCCCAATCGATCAAGATTCTGGAGGACGAGGTCAACAACCCCGAGTCAACCCTAGTGCGTGCGGGGGAAGATCGAGCAAGAATGATGGCTGAAATGATGCGACGTGTCGAGGTGACTCTGCGGGAGTTGGAAAAGTTTGCAATGAAATATGAGCAGCTTGCGAATCCAAAGAAGGCGTGGAGGAAGGAATTTTGGGCGAAATTCAAGTGGTCTCTTGATGCATCGAACTTGGAGGGGTTGAAGAATAAGGTAGATAGTCCCCCCCCCCCCCCCTTCACCCCTCCGCCGGCCTCCTCGTTACTTCGGATTGGTCCATGTACTGATATTTTGAGTCTACATCGTAGTTGGTCTATCATAATGGGGTAATCAACTTGCTATTGACGTCGGCTGGAAAGTAAGCAAAATAATTCCCAGTCTTCCCACTCGCAGAAGTACTGGTCTGATAACTTGCCATAGCTCATCGCTTCAGCGCATTGAGTCAGCACACAACCGGTTCGAAGAAAAACTCAGTCAGATCGATCACCATCTTCAGAAGATTGGAACACAAAAGGATACTACCAGCCCAGATACTCCAATCCTTTCTGTCCTGCAGAACCCTGTATTGAGTGCAACATTTATGAAGAACGCAGAAATAGGAAACAGAAGGTGGTCAGCGATTGGTATCGATGAGTGGATTCAGGCAGGGAGATGGTGGCTATTGAAGGTAGACTTTATTCCGCCATCATAAAACTCTGCCAGACCTTTGATGCCTCATAAACAAATGCTAAGCATTTTTATCATAAATATAGTCGCAAACCAAGAGCCTCACCACACAAGGCTCTTCGACTCAAGCCTACGCCGACCTTATAAAAGCCTCATGGATATTGAGAGATGTAATTGTCAAGCACCCGCAGTTGAACCTATTGGATCCCACGATGCAATGCGAGGCTGCAGTACTAGCTGAGGTGACGTGAAATCCTACATCAATCCTTTTAACAGGGAATGTTACAATTCTAACTAAATATTCCACGTGTAGGAAATAAGTCGATACTTGGGGTCACTCGAGGAATCAGGTTACAAGGGGATGACTGCCACCGAGATACAGAAAGCTGACTTGCGAATATGGGAAACGGAGGGCAAGCGAGATTCTTTGCAACCAGTAACAGAGACTTCGAGTGATGCGGCGAAGGACAATCAGCACTTATGGGAGACTACCAATGGGTCTGTTATCATGCAATGGTGGGTAATCAATTTGTTCCCCCCAGCTTCTTCACTATCACCTTGCTTACCGAAAGGGAAAGCTTTGCCATATGTACGACATTCGCGTACTCGGCCCCATGTGTCATCCTCATCATTGCGCACAAGTTGGAGAAAAAAGGGACCATTGTCGTCCGGGAGCAGGCTTCAAATGCCCTCTTGACGCAGAACTGTGAGTGGATATGCATGCCTATAAATTGAAATATCACAGAGAAGGAGCTTATCGAATATCTTGCAGTGGAAGCACTCGCCCCTACTCTGGCAGGTGACATTATATCTATTGGAAACAACAA